GGGGCAACGAACAAGGGGGCGGGCGGGGAGTGGGGTAGGTCAGGGGTGACAGCGCACAGGGGGACATACCACCGCCCGCAAGTGCCAGTGCCGGTACGTGACAAGTCTCTGACGACGTCAATACATTCATACGTTCAGCGCATATGCACCTGGAATACCACTGTACGCCGATCGTACCGCTAGGAAAGTGTGGCAGTGACCACACCGTCTCTGCAAAAGGGGGGGGTACGGAGACGGACGATGTGCAGGGATGCTGATTCGGGGGTGCATCGATCAACCCTTACTGTTCTTCATGGGATCGGGCGAGACGACTGGCCTTGCGAGAAGGTTGAGGGACGCGTGTCTGTCCCATCAAAAATGTGGGAAAACATGGCCAGGAGAGTGGAAACCGAACGAACGCTTGCATTGTTCTCCCTCGGTGGAGTCTACTGTGAGCTTGGGTATCGGCAACGCTTGCCTCCCGAGTGGCAACGATGCAATCAGGGTCACCATTTACACAACGGCGAATATTGTAGGGGTCGTCTCTGCACTCGACTCCCCCCTCTCGGTTGCCACCACCTCTGTGGGCAGAGAATGTCGCATGGCTGATTTGTAGAAAGGTGGGGGTAAAACTACCGNCCGCGGTTACCGCCATTGACCACGCGTCCTGGAGAGGACGAGCATTGTTCCCACCGATGGTCATTGGCCAATCGTTCCTTCCTACTTTGCCAAAGGTAGCTCAAAAATGTTTCCCAAGTACATCTATCCTATCGATACCACTTCCCGCCTTTTTGACCCTTTCGCCACGGTTTTTCCTCATTGGGGGGGGGGGTTGCGCGCTGNAGTTTCGTGGATGGACGTGGGGTTGGGGTTGATACTAAGGAAAAAAAAAAGAAAGTCAGAACCAATCAAGTCACACACACCATCAAGAGAACACTATCAAGAACGCAAGTGATGAGGCTACTCCTGTACCTTGAGGGTGAAGCTCTGGGCCACCGTCAGCCCCTGCCACAAAGCCGACAGTCCCGCCCAGAATATGCCGAACCATAACCCCCCGCAGTAGCGGAAGTAGGTGGTGAAAAGGGCGAGCTTGGGCCGGCCGACCGCCCGCTTCTCTACCTCGATGATCTTCTTGCCGGAGTCTGCCGTGCTGGGGTCCTTCGTGTCCTGCGAAAAAACGAAAACCGCAATATTTATTTATTTGTCTCCCATCATTGGACTCTGTCGTCTGCCCCTCTGGCCCCTATCNGGCCACAGGTTCTGCTGTCGTACTTTTTATGGGCGTGGGCGTGGGCGTGGGCGTGTTCGAACCCGACCAGGAGTCATAGATTGCACCACGTTGTCGCATGAGAGAGCGTTGGAGTCAACAAATCCCACAGGCCAGGGAAAAAAACAAGAAAACGATGAAAGATACCTCATGATACTCGGCGGAACCCGGACCTTCACCAGAGGGAAAGGGGGCTATGAACAACAGACAGGGGCGGGAAGAGGGCAAAAACCTCTCCAACAGACTAGTTAGATGCACCGCACGCACACCTGGATGCACGAAGGCTGCCGGACGTGATGAGCAGGGTCCTGACGAGGAGGGCGACGAAGCTCGCCACGCTCACCGCGATGTACAACCATAGGCCGGACCCGCTGTCGTCGCCGACGGCCATCTGGTTGATCCACGTCTGATACACACCAACAAAGTTTCGGNCGGGAGGGGGTTGGACCCCCTCCTGCGGTTCCTGCCTAAGATGTTTGTATCGCGAGAAGGGTACAGCAATCCCTTCCCTCGCGACTTATTATGAAGTCGATCAAGTTTACTAACAACGAGCTTTGCAGCGCGTCGCTTCCAACGGAGACCAGGATTTAATTAGCGAGAAAAAACTCGTTCTGTCCGGACTCAAACCCACGACCTGGCCCTTAGCAGGTGGCGGTTCTACCCACTAGACCACCGGGGCGACCGGGTACATGCAATCAGGTAATGCTTCGCCAAAAAATGGATACTTCGAAGTATTTGATTCGGATTTTTTTCAGCAGGCATCTGAATGATCACCCAATGAAGGTGAAATTAATGGCCCGGTCACAAGGAAAAAAATCAGGCCTTGGCACTTCTCCGTACTCCTGACTCCGCGAAATCGAACGACATATGGATTGCCCACTTTACATTGCGTCCGGTGTCGTGCGTGACGAGAAAAGCGATAGGGGCGAGGCGCTAAAAGGAGCAGCAGTGCCTCGCTACATCTTGTCGCTTCAACGGCGACAACATTAATACTGTGCACAGTCTACGAGGTGGAAAGCACTTCTGATTTTTGTTACCAAGGACGAAGATGGAGAGTCGTCCCCCATTCGTGAACCTGGAGCAACGAAAACAACAAAAATGTGTAGAAAGCCAACAGCGAAAGGCGTGGCAGCTGATCATCGCCGACATCCAGGTACCGACTGCTGTACATTCGATGCTGGCTAGTGGTTGCCCTACTTAAGCATGGGAACAAATCCTTAAGTTCTACAGAGTTCACGCTGAAACAGACGAGTCGGATTTGCAAGGATGAAAACTTGAGGAATTGTTCCCATGCTTAAGTAGGGCAACCACTAGCCAGCATCGAATGTACAACAGTCTGCACCTGGATGTTGGCGATGACGAGTTGCCACGCCTTAACCGCCCTCTCTACAAACTTTACGCCTTTTACTCCTCCTTCAAAGTCGAAATATCCGTATCAGTCTTGCCCAAACACCGGTGATACAAAAAAAAGTCTCAACAATGCTTGACAACAACGAATACAACCCACAACCAACCAAACACCGCTTCAGCCAAAAAAAATATGCAAATGAAGTAAACAACTCGGCACACGATCGCAACAACAAGAACACCCGCACGTGAATACCGTAAATACACGAGATAACACTCCCCCTGGACCGATTTTCAAAGCTCTATTACTCCACGACGAAGAGGATGCATAAACGAAACGATATATTTTCGAAAAGCTCTCGACGAGACGGTTTCAACGCCGCCGTTTTCGGCGCTGTGACTGTTCCTGCAGTTGAGAAATCGAGCTTCGAAAATTGGTCAAGGGGGTGTGTTATCTTGTGTCATATATGGTACGGTACACGTTTACAATTACAGCAAGACTGGCAACGACAGACCTTGTCATCCCCCCCCACGCTGGCTTCGCTGCTCTGTCGAACGAGCTTCGCCTTCGCACCGCTCGCCTCGATAACTTCCGTCAGACGGCCCTCCCCCTGTGCGGTAAGTTCCTGGTACACCAACATCGGAGAACGACAAGATGAACGAAAAGAATAACTCGAATGAGTATGGAAGCACAAGCTCGGAAAGGAAAGTTCGGGCCTGCAGGACTAATCATTCCTGAAGGGGGCGGGGGATTATGATGCTAAGCAAGCATCACCGACCCCATGTCCGGCATGTTTACCGCATCTGCGTAACGATAATGCGCATAATGCACTCAACGTCAACGAAGCCCGCGCAAAGTTGGATCAGTGCGTTCGAAGGCACTGAGCAAGAGAGACAGGGAACGGTTTCGATGTGAACCAACAGCAGCGACAACAAAAAGGACGACGGGAACGGCATTCAATGTGAAATCACCCATCACAACAGAAGCAGAAGCAGCAGCAACAACCTCGACTGAAATGGTGTCTAATGTGAAATCACCAATAGCAACAGCGGCAGCGGCAGCAGCAGCAGCATCAACAACATGCTCACCTCGTAGGTCCCCTGCTCCTTGATGGTGCCGTCACCATCTAGCACGACAATCTTGTCGGCATATGGCGCGGACATGTTGACCTGATGAGTCACCAGCACCACCGTCTTCAACTTCAACACCTGCAGCAGGCGTCGTTGTCGTGGGAGAGGCCGAGAGACGGGGCGGCGGCTAAGGGGGCCGACACGTGGCACTAACCGCATACCACGATTCTTAGTCGCGAGAGCAGGGCATCGATCGCAAAAGCAGCAGCATCAAACACAAGACGACCCATGAACGACAATCAGGACCGTCTAATCGTGCCAAGGCTATGGTGCCCCAGCTACCGTACTCGCGCGAGCGGTCGCCAACCGCAAACGGGTGGCTTCGAAACGACCTCGTTGGGAGCATTCCTTAGACTCACTTCGCGCCCTCTTCTTTTGATGGAGCAACCGAGCTACGAATGTCGGCAAAGAGGCAAAGGCGATAAACCACTTCGGCAACAACAACGATACATGGGCGACGATAATCTGACGCAAAAGCGGCGCAACAACTCTCGACTGGACCTTGCGAATGCACTTGTCGAAGATGTGCTTGCCCACGTGGGCGTCGACGGCGCTGAGGACGTCGTCGAGCAGCACGATGTCCGAGTCCGCGTACACCGCCCGCGCAAGGCTGACCCGCTGCTGCTGCCCCCCCGAAAGGTTAACCCCCTTCTCTCCGATCTCGGTCTGGTCCCCGGAGTCAAGGATTTCCAAGTCCTGGCAGCGGCGGAATTCGTTGTTCGTAAACATAGGGTGAAGAACGTGCATTGCTTATCGTCTGAATGGAGGTGTCGGCGCCATGCCCTCCTTTTCACACCATGTCTGTCTGGTCCCCGGGCTCGAGGATTTCCAAGCACGGCGTTTCGTTGTGTGCAGGGTTTGTGTAGGGTTTAGACCAAGGACTATGGCCAACCAAGGCTAGTGTAACGTGGCGTTGGCCGATGAGAGGGATCAACCCCTTGCAATACCATCTATGATCCCCATAGTAGAGCATTTCCATCCAAGTCGTTATTTATAAATAGGGCTAACCAAGACCCTGCACTAGGGTTTTTCAATGGACGCCAGTGGTGTTACCCAATCCTTCAATACGATCCGTCGGCCCCCATCCCTCCGAAATCCTGCAACGGGCGAGCCCTCCAACAAATCCTGTGCGAGTGAGGAGCGGTCGTTCCAGCACACACGGCAAACCGCGAACACCGGATACTGTAACAGGCACAAGCCGCAAGGTATGAGACGAAGAACGGCAGGGGCATCAAGCGCGGCGGACAGGAATCCTTTAACAAAAAAACAGAAAAACTTCATCCATCTCACCGACTGGAGAGCGCACGCCTCAAGAACCATGTCGTAGCGCCGGGGATCGAACGCGCAGCCGAACAAGATGTTATCTCGCACCTGACAAGCAATCCGAAAAAACAGGCAGAAACCCCGAAAAAAACGGAGCAAAAAGTAGTTGTGAAGAAGGTCTCGGTAAAAAGAGGCTGCGGCAGACGAACGACTCTGTAGAGATTCCATCTTGCGGGCACACGGTCACACGGTCACCTACGGCACAACAAGACCACACGAAAAGAAAAGGCCACAGATGGGGGATGGTGGCCGGCAGAGTCTGCGAGTGTTGGGTACGAAGGGGGGGAGACTACGACACGGTGAGACAGACAAGACAGACAGACGGACGCACGGGAGAGAAAAAAAGACGAGAGACAGAGACAGACAGAGGCAGCAACAGCAACTCTCGTCCGGTGCGTAGACCTTGCCGGCGAAACATATCTTACTCCGCTGTGGCATTTGGATCCACCGGGTACCAGGCTGCGGCGGGGTCGGGCCGGAGAAACAAGAACCAAGAAAAACAAAGCGAAACCTACTCTTCGTTTTTCTCTACAGACCATCGTAAACAATCTTTGTTCGTGACTAGCGGGGGGCAAGCAAAGGCGCTCGCAGTTGCACCGCAGAATCGAGCAAGGCACTCGTAATGGTTGCACCGCACTATATTAGGGAGGGTCAAACCAGTAGTTGCACCGCATTTGTCTTATGGTTGCACCGCATTCGCGAAAGCGTGGCCTACCGTCGCGTTCTGGATCCACGCCCGCTGGCTCGCGTACGACACGGAGCCGTTCATGAGGCTCCTGCCCTCCACCGTCACAAGCTCCTGGAGGCAGGCCATCAGCAGGGAGCTCTTGCCCGCACCGGTAGCGCCGTACACGCAAACCTTTTAACATTCGAAAGCGAGTACGCAGACGTTACGAGGACAAACGGGGGAATGCAGGATGGACAACAACGTTCGAAGACAGACGGTCCGCTGTGACATTGTTGCAAGCTCCAACAGCCCAGCGAGTATCACCGAACCAAAACCAAAACCAAAAATCAATGAACAAAAAACTTCAGTAGGTCCCTATTTAGTGCCGGGGTGTGCGCCAAAATTTCACCGGCACTAAACCAGACACCGGCACTATTCGAAGTACAGAACGACTTGGTATTCCAGTGTGTGCGAGCCCAAAACACCGGCACATTAACGGCAACCGGCACTAAACAGGGACCTCTACTGTGCTCCAAAACAAATGAGAGAAGTCACCCTCAAAAATACAAAATACTGCGCATAGTAACTCCCTCAGACATGTAGCTTCGCCGCCTCTCACCAGCTGCTTGGGCTTTATCTCAAGGTTGATGTTGGAGAGCGTGGGGCGAGAGAGTGCCAGAGACTGCCTCCACCGGAACGATCCTACCAGTGTTGCCCAGGGTTTGCCGAGGGCATTGGAGTCGACGTGTAGGGTTTCAGGACGAGAACAAGGGAGGGGGGTTATGATGAGAACAAAGGCAAAGTTTGCTGTCGGAACCGGACTAATAAACTGACATTTGTTGCAACTGAAAGAGTTGCAAACGCATCACTGTTGGAATAGTATTCGCGTGCCCCCCACTGGACACAAGTGGAGAGAGCACACGTGCTCCGTAGTCGTTGGTTGATGCCCTCGAGAGCGCGAGAGAGGACCACGGGGTGCGTGAGCACGCCGAAGGATTGAGGCGTGGCAACATAGGTTGGTTGGTAGCCACGAAAGTAGTGTGTATTGTTACTTTGATCACCGTTCTGAATCTTGATCTCGCCGGAGGCTAGGTCGGGCGAGTGACGGTCGGAGCCGGCTTTGCCGTAGACGTCTTCGTTGCGGACGTCGTCTGCGGAGCGGGACAGGAAGCTCTCGATCCGCCGGAAGCTAACCCGAGCCTGAAGAGAGAGAGGAATGAGCAAACCGCACCAGCGACATTAACACCGACGACAACAACAGCAATATCGTCGAAAATACAAGCACCACCAACAAGAAGCGACAGCAGCAATCGACAGGACCACCAACAACAGTACAAGCAACAGCAACTGCACACCACAAAACAACAAAATCGATAACAAGGACGACAACAGCAACAACAGCGGCCCAAGCTAACCTGGATGTAGTAGTTGAGGGTGTCGGGAAGCACGATGAGGGGCATGCGAAGCTGGTTGAACAGAGCCAGGGCGGTGAAGCCGGTGGCAGCCGTTAGAGGGTACCCAAGGAGCTTGGTGTGCACCAGAAAGGTCACCGTGCCGATCACATTCGGCGATGCCTTGACCACAACCATGAAGCACCTGCCACCCATTCACCCATTCACCCATTCGTACCATGTGCTGGATTAGTACCAGTGCTGGATTAGTACGGAGAGATTGAGACAGAAGGAGGTACTGGATAGAGAGACCGGGATGGTTTTTAATGTGAAGACAACAACAACAACAACAACCATGGCCATGACACAGACCTCCTCTTACTGCGGGTATTAACAAGTGTCCAAATCATCTCGTCTTTGAGTGGGTACGTACAGGATGACAGAGTTTCTATAAATCCCCGTAGGAATCAAACATGTGTCCAATTATTCCAACTGCAGGCCCGTAATATAGATGTCAGAGTCTTCTTGAATCTATCGAGAAACGGCCAAATCGTCTCAGCTATTAATGGGCACAAGTTGTTCACGGGTATGACCGCACGCCTCACATCTACGTTCCAGCCTCCGGACGACTGAATGACGGCTGCCTGCTACCCCTAACCTAACTCTTCTAACCCTAACCCTACTAACCCGTGCTGTGCGGTACCCGTATGTGATCACGTGACACTACATGCCGAATAGTGAAGATCATACCCGGCTGGGAATGATGCCGCACGTGGCACACAGGTCGCGAGGCAACTGCTCTACAATCCAAAAACTCGAACACAAACACGGGTAAACACTGATCAGAGCACGCTAAGAGACACGCAGACAAGAATCCCGTGTGTACGTGTGATGGAGGGTAGACGCAATACGGCTGAATCTGGTGAAGACCACAACATGCCTACTTGCATTCTTAGGGTGGGCCTTCGGTTCCCACGCTACGAGCAAAATAATACATGTAAAATCTGCAAGAAATTTCCAGGGGAAGAAAAAACATCAGTAGCTCTTACCCCAGGGTGAACATGTACGTCCTCAAGAGGACCATCTCCAAAGACCGGGCGTCGACCATCTTCTTGAGGAAGTTCGGTTCCCAGGCGAAAAGCTTGATGATGCGGACGCCGTTCATGGCCTCGTTCACCACGGACATGCGACCGTCACGCCTCTGTGTACGACGAGAGCCAAACAAAAAAAAACAATGTCAGGCGGAGGAACTCCCACAAGCAGCGCAAACAAGCGGCTCAGGTTGAATTTGAAACTCCGGCGGTTGAAGCATGATAAAAACTTTGTCCTTGTGCGCAAAACGGCCAGCCGGAGTACGAGAGAGATGCTACTGTAAGAAAATGTTGTATATCAATACCCAAACACTCTCCGCAGTCAGATATTGCTGCTGGAACAGGACAGTGTACGAAATGGTCAAGTACACGATGAGTTGCAACTCTGCGATACGTCGATCGTTGAGCTGCTGAAAAATCTAATCAATGCCCACGAAAAAAAGTGGCTTGCGAATAAAAACCATTTTGCGTGCGCACGATACAACAACAGCAGCAGCCTACCTTCATGAGCTCGAGCTGGAAGGCCTTGAGCTTTTCTACCAGAACCTGCAATAAACAAGACGTTTCAGGGGAAAGAGAGCGGGGGATAAGGGGGGACGGAGGGTAAGTACACTGATTGATTCGCCTGGAGAAGTTTGCACCGCTGCTGAACCAACCTCAATCGTGTCGAACGGATGTCGGTCTGCAGGGAGACAGAAAAAGAGACAGAGACAGAGACAGAGACAGAGACAAAGAGACAAAGAGAGACAGAGGGGGGGCAAGAGAGAAAGCGTGGGACACACACAGGCGCACATGTTCGGGAGGAAAAGGAACCCGCCGAAAACGCGCCATCGCCCTACATGATATACCACCGCAACACCAACACAAACACAGGCAACAAACAGCCCGACGCCGCGACGTGGTCGGGCGGAAAAAGGCACCCACCTTTTCAAGGGGCAGCGACAGGAACAATGCTCCAAAACGCCGGCAACATACAGCACAGGCTCGACACGGAAGAGGCACCCACCTAAGAGAGAAACACCAACACCGATACTGGAACACACAGGCAACACCAACAGCACACGTCGCCGGGTGGAAAACAAGGCACCCACCCACCTTGTTGAGGGGCAGCGACAGGAAGACGAGGCTGAGCCCGCTGATGGCCGACACGCCCAGCACCCAAAAGAGCAGGATGATGCACGACACCAGACGCACCAGCGCGCTCCACATGAACATCTGGAACACCATGAGGTTCAGCACCGCCTCCGCATCCACAGAGATATGGTTCTGGTAGCAGACAAGAAAAAAAGGCGAAGCGGTTTCAAAACCAGCTGCACGACGCCTGGCCGCCAAGATCTTCCTTCAGCTGAGGTTGAATTTGTGTTTTTCTCGCCTTGCGCGCCTGCGGTGATCTGTTAAAATGGTTTGCAGTTTTATTCAGCTGAGGGATGTTTTCTTTCGTAATGAAACTATTGAAATTACTGTCGCCTCTATTGCGCCTCCGCGAACCAAGCTGCACCATGGGTAGTTCGTTTTCCCGTTTTCAGCTGTGCGTGAATTTGTATTTCTTTTTCTACGCCTGCGGGTGAAGTCATCTTTATTCTTGATGTGCTCGTGTTCGGGTTAAGACTTGGATAGTTCGTTTCCCGTTTCAGCTGAGGGTTATGCAATCTTGAGCTGAAAAGGGAAACGAACTAAATCTTCACCCGACCACACTCACAAAACGAACAAATACGAGTTCACCCGCAGGCGCACAAAACCAAGTACAACATCACGCGCAGATGCACAAAGGCTACAGCAGAAAAATACAATTTCAACTCTCCGAGCTGAACAAAGGGAACGCGAACTACAATCCGCGTGTAGACGCAAACGGCGACACCTAAATCCAAACATATCCGCATGCGCACGACCATAAGAACAGATACAAATTAACACGCAGATGCGCAAAAGGCGGGAACACAAAAGACGCCCATTTCTTATTCGAAGACGCAAATAACAAAGCCGTACACGTCACACGTCTCAGGTCACCTGGAGCTGTCCCGCGTTTGCGCTACTCATGTCGAGGGTCATCGCTTTGCGGAACACCGCCGATATCAGCGCCGAGCGGGACCGGATGCCCATGCGACGCCCGAGCTTGAACATGGTCGCGTCGCAGTAGTTCGCCACGCCCTGCCCAGCCAAGGTTTACGGACGTCGTTTCGAGGGGTCGAGCACGATGTGACCAAACAATGCCAGAATGCAACGGTATGTACAGTAGTACTTCAGCTCCAGCACGCGCAAAGGGAGTGGGATGGAAAAGGAAATGGACTATTCACATGGCTAACCAGGACGGTGGGCAGAGATCGCCAGGGGATGAAAACAAAACCAATGATTTGCAAAATCGTCGGGGTTGCCAAAAAGAAAAAGAAAAAAAACAGTCGGCATGCCTACCGGCACTCCCAATGAATCCCAACGCGACAAGGCCCACGAACATGAGGCATGGGGGAACAAACAATGCGCCAGACGCCTCACCAGAAACCGCCCGCCAACAAGCCACGATTAGAGGCTAGGCGTCATCGTTGAGGTGGCTCATCATGAGCGGAAACACTCGAACCGCTGTGGCAGCCCGTAAACAGGTCTACACGAGAAGAAAAGGCAGGAGGGAGAAGAGCGACCAACACAACTACACAGCTGTAGAGGTCTACAGGGAAACGGCAACCATCAGGACACGCTGGGCAAGAAGACGGACGCGTTAATTTACACGACAAAGCAAGAACAAATAGCCGGGCAAGCAGAAGGCTCTTGTGAATGGCTGGTCAACACCGAAAACACCAACGCCAGCCGCAGACAGCACCGCACAAGCTCTCACGAAACGGCAACTCTCGCAAAAAAAAAGGCGTGACCAAAAACAACGCTGATTACAACCAAATCAGCCACACACCCACACCAGCAGTACAACAAAAGCTCTCAACACCAACAAAACAAGCATGGTCCGCGGAAAACACCAACGGTGACCACAAACCAGCCACCCACACAATTCGACAGCAGATAAGCTCTCAAAAGCATGACCAAAAACAATGCCACCAACAAAAACAAGCCACCCACCGGGGGTCAACGGTCTAACCGCTAAGGCATGCAAAACATGAGCACCCCCCCCACACACACACGTACCTGGCCTAGGAAGAGACCTGCGACCGAGGCAAGGACGACGAGAGGGATGCCCTGCTTCGGAGCATCCTTGTCATACGTGTCCATGTAGTCCGTGATTTGGTTGAGAGCCAAGGGCGACACGAGCTGCGTGAGCGCCCCGACGAGCGCCGTCGCCGCCTGTTGTGCCGCGCCCCGCCGAAACGAAACGAGGAGCAGAGGCAAACACACGTGAATGGCACACGAGCAAATACAGGGAGCACAAAGGCGAAAAAGGGGGTATGAAAAAAAAGACAACCAAGAACAGAGACAAGCATAGAACCAATTATGGAAAAACGCCAAAGTACAAGAACACATGATCCTATTCTCCCACCCCCGCCAAAAACACACACTTCGGCAATTTTTGCGTCGGACGCGGCGGCAAAAAAGGAACAATAAATGCATGAACATGGAATGAAGCGAAAACTGCACATTTGAATTGAAATGTGTCTCAATAAATCATCTGATTGTTTTCTTTATATTTTTGGAGGCAGGTTCTTCACGACTTCGAGTAAAGTTATCTATCGGGCTTTTTGCTATCGGGCTTTTTGGAGGACAAGCACAACACTCCGGAGAATAAAAAAACGCGATTTGTTTTCCGACGGCCGAGACTTGCCTGCAGGAAGTATCTCTTTCCCCCAAGGCGGACGATGTTCCTGCCTACGTTCAGCTCCTCTCCGTCTAGAACGGCACTCTGCCCACGTGGGTACAGCAGCTTGGCGTAGCGCGCCCAAATGGTCTCCGCTCGGTCATCGTCCACAATTTCCTGAAAAAACAACCAATTAAAAAGAGGCACATAATAAGCATCCCCGCGTCATGGACCGGCGCGGGAACTACAAGAAACTGAGTCAAGATCGGAACGGTTGTAAATATGGAGACACCAGGAAGTGGCTTCAATGTAGGTCATCGTTGAAGGTATGGCAAGCTTGTCCCTACGACTCTATGAGACAACCGTAACAGGTGCCATAACAAAAAGCAGCAAAAAAATCATTGAAAAAACGACCCTTGACCCTTGCCCTTTGAGCTAGTACCATGTTGCACCACCACATCAGCAGGAACAGCGATAGCCACAATGCCAACAACAACACAAAAACTGCAAAGGGTGCGAGATCGTCGAAATTTACCGGCAGCTGTTCCATCTTAAGCTCCCCTTTGTAGCCCCTGTCAATGACCCGCGTGTACCAGTTGAAGTTGTACATGGACCAGATGCTCGAGGAGTACTCCGGGGTCAAGTGGTTGTCTGCGGTACCACAAAAAAAAAAAAGGAGAGGGGGGGGGGGGGGCATTCACTTTATAAGAGTGACTGGGAAAAGAAAAAGGCACGTGGAAAACTTGAGACCAGCCACCCATTTGCTTTCATGTAAGAGAGCCGCCGATAAGCTCGATTCTGGCTGCTGGACGGGGGTCCCGTACACTGTATGACGTGGCACACCCCCCTCCCCCGTAAGGAGGCCTTCTCTAACCCGTCCAAACACACAGCGACAAGGCGTCAGTCTGATTTTGGCGCAGACTATGGTACCACCACCACCACCACCACCATCACCACCAACAACAACAACAACGACAACAAGCAGAGCAGGAGAGCATCAAGACAGCAGAAGATGAGAGAGCTTACAGTACTTGATGGGCACGACACGAATGCAAGACCAGATCTCCACGGCGACGATCAGCAACAGAAGTCCGAGGTCCCACGCCGCAGGCTGCCACAAAAAGGTGCCGGCGAAGTTCACCATAGTACGGGGAGGGGGGAAAAGTCGTCTTGGCACATTGCAGTGGCAAATGGGCACCAGGCGAGAGGGGTGGGACATGCTCAGGCGTTGTTTTCACGTGAACCTAAGGCCCCTTTGGAAGAACAAGAAGCAACCATCTCTTCACAAAATGGGGTACCAGAAGTGCTAGTGCTGTGTGTATTCGTGGATATTCCAGCAAAATGCGCACACTGTAGGCTGCGCAAGATTCCACACACACTTCAAAACCTCTTTTACTCCGCGACGAAGAGGATGCCAAAACATCAGATCATGCGGTTTTTGGAGAGCTCTCGCCAAGACAGTTCAACGCCGCAGAGTGGTCGAGCATTGAAAGTCGGTCGAGGGCGAGAGTTACCATACAAAACCTAGGCAAGACATCGCGAGGAACATCACCTGAACAGCAACAAAACCTACTCAACACAACAGGTGGCGTTTTTCCTCTCTCCCCAGAGTAACTGCGTTGAGTTGAGGGTGTCGAGGGCAAGGGGAATCGCACAGCAGATATAGTTAGCTTTGTCCACAGCTACATACCCTGGCCGCGCTTGAAGAGCGTATCCTCACGTTTGAGCTTTCAGGTTTTGATCCGTGTTGCCGGTTCGTCATTACTTTCAAAAGTAAACGGTCTGTCTTCAAAACGTCAACCATCCCCCCACCGCCAAAAAAAAAAAATAGTGCTTCATTTTGGAGCAAAAGAAAATAGCAAAACACGAAACCAGGCGGCCGAAAACAGACCAGACTCGGCATTGAGGTCATACCGCGGTGCGGCATGATTAAAAACACTCTGCACGCGGTTTCACCTCGGATGCACCGACTACACCAAATCCGTCGGTCCGGAGCAAGGTCCAGAGCGCCGTTGCGAAGGCGACCGCCGGAAAAATGGCCTGTTGATGTTAATGTTGAGCAGCGTATCATAGGTCCCAAGGACGTGATAGAGGAACGCGGGGCAAAGCGAGAAGGAGAAGAAAGAGGAGGGCAAAGAGGAAAATCGCAAAGAACGTGCGGGGAGGAGGGGGTGGGGGAGAGAAGAAGACATGAAAAAACCTCACAGCCGGCAGTAGGAAAGCAGGAGGGGATAGACGGATAGGTCGCAGGCGTCACAAACATCACTAGCCCTGGCTGGGATACCACGTGTGGTTGCAAACCGACGAGTCAAGCGGACTCGTCTACTGCTGTATCAAGCGAACCGTCACTTCCGCCGCGGTTGCCCCGCAGTTGACCCCCCCCCCCCCCCCCCCCCCCCCCCCCCCCCCCCCCCCCCCCCCCCCCCCCCCC